AGAGGGCAGGGACGGGGAGAGGGCAGGGACGGGGAGAGGGCAGGGACGGGGAGAGGGCAGGGACGGGGAGAGGGCAGGGACGGGGAGAGGGCAGGGACGGGGAGAGGGCAGGGACGGGGAGAGGGCAGGGACGGGGAGAGGGCAGGGACGGGGAGAGGGCAGGGACGGGGAGAGGGCAGGGACGGGGAGAGGGCAGGGACGGGGAGAGGGCAGGGACGGGGAGAGGGCAGGGACGGGGAGAGGGCAGGGACGGGGAGAGGGCAGGGACGGGGAGAGGGCAGGGACGGGGAGAGGGCAGGGACGGGGAGAGGGCAGGGACGGGGAGAGGGCAGGGACGGGGAGAGGGCAGGGACGGGGAGAGGGCAGGGACGGGGAGAGGGCAGGGACGGGGAGAGGGCAGGGACGGGGAGAGGGCAGGGACGGGGAGAGGGCAGGGACGGGGAGAGGGCAGGGACGGGGAGAGGGCAGGGACGGGGAGAGGGCAGGGACGGGGAGAGGGCAGGGACGGGGAGAGGGCAGGGACGGGGAGAGGGCAGGGACGGGGAGAGGGCAGGGACGGGGAGAGGGCAGGGACGGGGAGAGGGCAGGGACGGGGAGAGGGCAGGGACGGGGAGAGGGCAGGGACGGGGAGAGGGCAGGGACGGGGAGAGGGCAGGGACGGGGAGAGGGCAGGGACGGGGAGAGGGCAGGGACGGGGAGAGGGCAGGGACGGGGAGAGGGCAGGGACGGGGAGAGGGCAGGGACGGGGAGAGGGCAGGGACGGGGAGAGGGCAGGGACGGGGAGAGGGCAGGGACGGGGAGAGGGCAGGGACGGGGAGAGGGCAGGGACGGGGAGAGGGCAGGGACGGGGAGAGGGCAGGGACGGGGAGAGGGCAGGGACGGGGAGAGGGCAGGGACGGGGAGAGGGCAGGGACGGGGAGAGGGCAGGGACGGGGAGAGGGCAGGGACGGGGAGAGGGCAGGGACGGGGAGAGGGCAGGGACGGGGAGAGGGCAGGGACGGGGAGAGGGCAGGGACGGGGAGAGGGCAGGGACGGGGAGAGGGCAGGGACGGGGAGAGGGCAGGGACGGGGAGATGGCGGCGAGGGGCGCCGTCCCGCCGGGGGGTGCCACCCGTGTGGAAGCAAGGGTTGGCGCCGCGCTAGCCCTGCCCTACGCTGTTGCGTTAGGCAGCGCCGCAGGCCTTCCCGCTCCGCCGTTAGGCAAGAGGGGCCCGCCGCCGAGGTTGGAATGTCCGGTGTTTACCGGCGCCCGCGTCCAGCCCTCGGCCGGGTGTCTCGCAGAGACAAAAAGTGCTTCTAGAGCCTTCTCGTCTTCCGGCTGCTGCGAAGTGTCGGGAAGTGCCCTAGAGGTGAATTGCGTTGAGTATGTAGAAGCCGCTTTTTTTTCTTTCAGGTTAAGCTGCCCTTTTTTCTCAGCACAGCTGCTTTTATGAGAAGCTGTTTATATGAAGATAGACACACAACGGCAAGAAGTACAGGAAGATAGGAAATACCGCTTTGCCTTGTCTGATTCTCTTACCTGTTCCCTTTGAGAGCAAGGCTGAAAGTTAATAGAAAAGCTATATACTTCATATCCACCGGCTTCTTTTTTTTTTTTTTTTTGTAGTAGTAGAGGCATAGGCTACTGTGTAGCAAATTGAAGCCTAGAAGACAAGGAAGAAGGTGCTTTCAGATGTGATTTAACGTTGCAGCTAAGATAATGAAATACTGAGTTGCGCTGAAAGAGGCAGTCCTGTTTCTCCCTCTCCTTCCTTCTCCAAGTTCCCCATCCCATGTATGTGACCTAGCAGTCCTGGAGTTGTGTGGTAAATCAATTCAGCTACTTGAGCGATTTAATATTTTTTTCCCCCTCGAGGGATCATTTTCTGCCAGAGCAGCCAGCTGAATTGACTCACTGTATGTCTGTTTCATCACTCGATGCAGGGGAAGAGGCAAGGGTACATATCCTGGTAGGAAGAACAGAGGGTAGAACCATCCCTTCCAGTGGCTGCTTGCTGTTAGATCAGTTTAGCTACACCTAATTTTTTTTTTTTTCCCCCCTGACCCCTTAGGGAGACTGATACTTGAGAGGTTAAAAGTAGGTATGACATCAATTAAAAGCTGTCTAGCTGTGCTTTGCCAATAGGTGTTGGAACTGTCATTGCTGCTGCTTTTCAGTTCCTTTCAAAATCTTAAAACCAAAAAACAAACAACTTGGAAACCATGTTTTTCTCCCAACAGTTAAATACATACCTGTAATTCACTTTCAGAATTGCAAAAATTCATTTTCCAGTAGGCAGACACAGGTGTTGCGCTGATTTCATGTGCAGGTTGTTGGAATTAGATTGAAAATAAAATCCTATCTGCTAACCCAGGTTCTTCTTACACCCTTTCAGTCAGAGGAGTATTGAGAATGGAGATGTGGTTGGGGTAACTATTTCAGAGAGCTTAAAAGTTTTTAGATTGGCCATTGTTACTTACTAATTAATTCAAATTAGTTTCCATTATATTTGTCCTTAAGTGCCAGTGTGTCACAAATTTTGCATTGTTGCAAATGTCTTGAAGAGATGAAGGATAGCTAGGCATTACAAAGACAATGAAATGGAGTTTTATAGTTTGGTCCCAGAGAGATGGTATAATTGCTCCCTCCTTTCTAGAGTACAGGCAGTACATCTGTCATTTGGGAATGATTAAATGAGAATCTATGCCTACTTTCTGCATCAGTGGACCAAGAAATTTGCTAGATATTTGAGAAGAAATGGCAGAACAGCTAATGTTATTGTTTCTGTTACCATGGTTTGCTCTTACTATCAGTACTCCTTTATCGCCAGTGGTTTGTACTTCTCACAAAGGGACTGTTTCTGTTTAGCAGATTCAGGTGAATTAATTGTATTTGTTTGCATTTTGTAACTTTGATTCTGGACCAAAGTTTCTATCATAAGTATTTTAAAAAGCCCCCAAACTTTTGAAGAATCAAGCACTTAAGCTGCATAAAGGACTATGCAAAATAGATGTAAACTGTCGTATTTTCTGAGTCATAGTGTTCACTCAGTTGTCAGTTCAGAGCATTTTATGTTAGTTACAGAAAGTATTTTATTTCTTTACCTCTAACAGAGTCTTACCCTGCTTGCAATCAAAAGTCAGCAGTAGCAGGTTAGTTTGTGACTGCCATGTTAGAAGCATAAGGAATTGACTGTAGAAATGTTTAATGGATAATTTTAAGGGGCAAAAAAATTAATTTTTTGTACATATTTATGTATATGTATATTATCTGCTATACCAGGGCTGAATTTAGTTTAATACAGTCTTCTAAACTTTAGGGTACTTCCAATCTTATGTTTTAGTGTTGATTTCAACCTGTGAATACTACTTTGGTAATGGTATAAATTTATTTTTTTTTTAAATGTAAAAATCCTAATATAGGATTTCTTTGTGAAATCAATTTCAGGAATTAGCTGCAGAAGAAACAGGCTTATGATTTCAAACAAAGCCTATCAGCATGGTACAAAGCTGGGAGTATCTGCTAAGCCCCTTTCTTTTAAAGAAACTTGCCACGACGTAATAATATTTAGCAGGGGTTGGGGACAAGTCTTTACTGGCTTGTCCAGTAAATATTATCCAGGGATAATCATAGTTCACAGCTTGCTGGGCTCATGAAGAGTCTGGCATACATACTTACTTTTTCAATGTACATGCTTGGCATGTACGCAGATATCTTCTGTGATTTCATAATATGCGTTGCTGTAAAAATGTTGACAGTTTTATTTGTAAGCTCTAACGGTTTCTATGTGCAAGCAAAGAAAGCCTTGCACGCAGGAATTAAAAACATTATTCTGTATTAGTAAATAAGAGCAAGTAACACGCATCTGAGTCACCTGTTCCCCATCACAGCATTGTTCTCTAGAGTGGACAGAGATCTGGGTGCACCAGCAAGTGACAGATGGTCTTTTAGGGGATATAAAAAATCTGCAATTACCAAACTTGACTCTGGCCTGCAGAGAAGAACTGAAACTGATAAAATCCTGCTACTTTTTTTTGTATGAGCTCCATCAGTGCTTTTGAGTCAGCTCTTATTGGCCAGAATTAAGCTTATGCACTCTAGTTGTACGCAGAAATAATGAGCTGTGGTCATCAACTGTGTAAAAAATGTAACTTAGAAATTATTATGGACTAATTTAAGTGAACAGACAGGCAAAACAGGGTGGCTTCACATTTCACATTAGGAGAAGCTTGGTAAATCCCAGCTGCTTTGCCAAGTTCCTGAACTAGATTTCAGTAATCTGAAATGTGGCTTTTTGGAAATTTTTTGCCCTTGAAACGTCTGCCTTTATTTATTTTTCCAAATTAACATTTGAGTGAGTCCTTTCTAAGCTTAGGAGAGTAAACGAGAGGAATCGATATGTCACAAACATCTGTTTAAGTCTTGCAAACAGCAGCAGTGTGGTGCCTGTTGAGCGCTGGAACATCTTGTGGCAGCCTCGTCGTGACAACGTAATGATAGAGCAAGGCAAAGGCATGGGTAAGGACTTTCAGTAAACCACCTGATGTAAGTACAGAGAGCAGACAGAGAGGCACGTGAGCTCTGTGGTCGATCAGGCCTGCTACAGCTGAAAAACTTGTATGCTCAAACCCTGTTTTATCCTGCTGTAGTTAGGCCCAGTACAAGTTAAGTTTCCTTGCAGGTCATGCTTCACTGACATGCTGTTCTTACCTACTGATACTTGCCTTAAAACCACACTATATGCTCACGTCTGAGGCAACTGTTGTAAATAACACTTGAAAAGTACCTGTGGATGTCTAGACAAACGAGAAATGGAAGCATTATGGGCTGTAAAGGGCAAAACAGTAAGTCAAATTCAGAGTAGTGAAACAAAAGGAAAATTTTTAATGTGAAAATTGCATAGTTGTATCTTCACAATTAATATGAGGAAAAACGGGTGAAAGATAGAATGTAGTAAAAAACAATCACAAAGTACAAGGAAGGAGAACTTTTTTTGAACTTTTTATAGGTGGTGGAAAAGATAACTATGAATCTTTGCTATACACTTGTATCCTCATTCCTGTGTTTCAAGTGTGTGTGTTATAATTGAATGTTAACAAGCTGCATTGTGTAGTGTATGACAGCATGGTCTGAATCAAGAGTACAGGAGTAATCTCTGGACTCTTAGTCATTCCTGTAGTACCTATACTTTTTGAAGAAAGAATGCTAGCAAAGAAATGAGTCTACTAACTCTTTCAAACTTCTGAATATAGCAGGTGCCGATGAACATAAGTAATCTTGTTTAAAAAAAAATAAAACAAGATTTATGCACTTGAATGTTCTGTGCATGTGCTTGTCTGTCAACAAGTCTGATCGTGAGGTAGAGATCTCAACTCAACTTCTACATGTGTATGGAAACAAGCAGCTAGGCAGGGGGACCCTGCTAATGCCCCTGCAGAGAGATAAGCTACAGCCTGAAACCAACCGTATTAGGCTCAGTTTCAACGTGTCAGTCTAGAGAAAGCAAGGTTTCACTGTTTCTGTGATGCATGTTTGACTTGGACACCGTGCAGCTCCCGGAGTGGTGGGAACATTCCCATATCGTGCAGTCCTATAAGGCAAACAAATTATCCCCAGGCTTATGTCAGATGGTCTGGGTGTGTTATTTCATGTACTTTCTCCATAGAATGTTGTTTCTGTCAAATAAATGTCAAAATTGTGACATTCCTGTAAAACTGTAAAAGAACAGACCGATATCATTACTGGCAAAGAAAGCGGTTTTAACTCTTTAGCTGCTGGTTAATTATTCCTACTCCAAACAGTCTCAGAATTCTGAAGAACTGGTCCAGCAATGCACTGAAGCCATTGACAGTTGAAAGCTATCTATAGAGTACCTAGGAAAGAAAACGTGGGGAGGTATTTCCTAACTCTACTGAAATACATTAGAGGTGAAAAGCTTATGTTGAAACAGAAGTATTTTACTTAATATGAGCTTCCTTAAATAAAGATGTTTGAAATGTATAAAGCAAGCAACTGAGGAATAATAAACAAGGTTGCCATGCAATACTGGCAGGCTCACAGCTACTGTGACTATTAGCAACCCCTGTCAGGGAGAGGAAGATTACTGTTCCACTGCATCTGTGGAGTTGTGATCTGGAACAGAAGCTCTTCATTTCCATGGGGAAAAGCCATAGAGGATCAGTTAGGAAAAAAAAAGCTTTATCTTTTTTTTTTTTTTTGGGGGGGGGGTAGCAATTATATTTTGCTGGACAGGCATATATTGTCCCTGGGAGGAAAAAGGTTTCATCTACAGCCGTAGGCCCAGAAGGTGGGAAACCCCTTGAGACTCTTGGTTAATTACTATTTCAAACAGTAAACTATCTGGCTATG